GGCCTCCACCCTAGTAGCGAATGCCTCCAACCTAGCGACTACTGGCGCTGGCCTCCACCCTAGTAGCGATGGCCTCCAACCCACTAGCTATGGCCTCCAACCTAAGAGCGATGACCTCCTTTAGCATGCCTTATGTGGAGCCACATGACCAAATCTTGGAGCATGTCAGGATACGTTTAACTGCAGCTTCTCCAGAATTAGAATTCGTACGATTCAAGCCGTGAAATCCATGCCCAACCTCATCCTTTCGGCCTCTCTACATTTTCCAGAGAGGCCAACCGCTGTTCTCTAAAAGGAAGTACTGTCCGGAAGCTCTGGTTTGTGTCGCTGTGCGAGGTCTCACAAACCAGATGGGACCACCTCGCACCTCGTAGCAGCCTCTTGGTGAGGTCCAGTCGGCTACGAGAATGAGAATGCCATTCATTCACCCTCAAAGAGCCTTTACCTTCCTTTGTTCCAAACAAGTTGTTCTCATTTGCAGTCCATTTTTGTATTCAAGGCGCATAGAACAAAAGAAAGCCATGAAAGCCATGATCCACTTGTTTCTCTGCATGGTGAGATTTGGGAAGGGTTGGATAGGAGTATCTCCAGGCAGGACGCAGCAGATAATTCTCGAATAAAGTGGCATTACTGTACATACTTCGTTCAAAAGGCCAAGGGCTGCAATGCATTTGACCAACTGGCAGCAGCCCCCTGGTTCAATCGCCAAGAGAGGCCTTCAACTGGGCCTTCCCCCGGTCCTAAGGCCTCAAAGGAGGCCTCCACCCAGCACCTCTTGGCTGCCGCACGACGTCGTCAGCAATTGCGACAAGCTAAGGAGGACAGGTTGAAAGAGCTTGATGGCATTAAATCTTGATTTTGGATTCTTTTGTAAGTTATATCATGTAAATGTATATACAGAGTTACATTTTTTTTTGTTCGCCTCTTTTCGTGCAAGAACGTGCTTCAGGTGAACCAAGTCCTTAGGTCCTTTGACCCAAGGTGCTCACATCGTCTCCTAAGCTTCTCATTGAGCTCAACCTCCGTGGCCTTGATCCTGCCACTGCCCCCACATCGCGTGCATCGGGCAACTGCTCCTTTGCGGCTCACGGTGTGCGAAGGATGTCCCCGCCAGAGCGAGGGGTCCAGAGGTCCCACCATGCAGGCACCACTCACGAAGTTGGTGAAGATCTCTTCATTGCAGCGAGCCAAAATGTAGCCGGCACATTCGGAGCAGCGGAGGTAAGCTTTGTCAAGCTTCAAGTGGTGTACACCTGGCTGCACGCCAGATTGGGCAGCAATGAGCTCCTCGATGACCTGAAAACGAGTTTTCTTCGGCTGAGAAGCAGGGGCCGCCATGGCACAAGATGAATCCAGGGCCTCCCGAAGATCCGCCACCAAGCTTTTGGCATGGAACCGTTGCTTGCAATGGTCACATCGAACTCCGGTTCGGTAGCTTTGCCAGGAGTGGCCTCCCTGATCAGGCCGAGTTTCCAGTTGCCTCAAAAGAGCCCGCTTTTGCTCAACCAAAGGAACTTTGTGCGGAGAAGCTTCAGCTTTGGCCTGATGGAGGAAGTGGGACTTGTCCTGAAGAAGGATGGTCATCCTCGTTGCTGCAACACAGAGCACATCTCTTGTGTCTTCGTCGATGTGCTTCTGAAGTTCCAAGATCTCTTCATTGCGGGATGCCTTGGCGAAAGCACGGGCCAGCCGATCCGCATCGTCCTGGAAAGCCTGCCGGTTCCCATTGGTGTCTTGCTCCTTCTTGGAGAAAAGGAGTGGGCGAACTTGGGCAAAGTCCTCCGGGTCTAGGCCTTGATAGAGGTCAGGAAAGTGCTCAAAAGCTGCCGCGGGTTGCCAGAGCTTCCAGACTCCATGATCATAGACGGCCACATGGACTTTCTCCTGACTGTGCAAAGCGAGATGCTTGAGGCCATAGAAAAGGGCCCTGCGCCTGGTAGGTTGACCCGGGCAAATGCCTTTGAGTGCTGCAACCCTTCGCTTGGTGGAGACCTGGTGCATACATAGGACGAAGACAAAGCGTTTGTGCCTGACATCCTTGCAGGTTGGGGCGGCCGCCAAAGAGATGGCATTCCCAGCCGGAATGTCGAACGCAGCCTCGGGAGTCCAGTGCCCTTCATGTTGAAAAGTGCCCATGCCTCCTTCCTGTATGTAAAAGATGGATTGCACCATGCCTCGCTGCCAGAGTTCTGGTTCGGTACCAGCGGCCAGGCGGGACTTCCACTCTTCCGGAATGTCCTTGACCTTCCCCTTCCAAAAGCGACACTGCCACAGCAGGTGTGTGAAGGTGAGGTCTTCACCACACAGAGGGCAATTGCCTTGTTGGCCATGGAGAGTTCCTTGATGGAAAGCCCTGAGGGCGGGTCCATTCTTCTCCGACATCTTCTGCAGAGTAAGACTGACCTGCCAGTCCAACGGTCTTTCCAGGTCGTGGCAGCCCTCATACCTGGTCAAACGGAGGAGTCGCTGCCAGCGGAACTCATTTTGCAACTTGTAGAGGAGCTCAGGCCAACAATCCTCCAAACTGAGGACACAATCAGGAATGCCTCCGTAGCCGGTGCGCCTCCACGTGGGACCCGCGGAAAGGTCGAAGTCATAATCCAGGAGGTAGGCCTGAAGAGCTTGGAGGGGACCTGAAACAACTTGCCATCTGTATCGCACCTTCTGCAAAGCTCCCAAGGCGACATTCCAGCTAGTCCAGAAAAGGTGCCTGGTGCTCTCATCGAAAGAGTGATATATCTTCCAGACTGAATGAAGATGTTGCTGGATAATGGAGTCACCAGGATCAGGCTGATTGGGGTGCATGTCAAAGACCACATCCACCGATCCAGATCGCTGCAGTTGCAAACTCCTGGCAGCCATGACGCGGATGTATTGCCGCCTTTGAGGGGCCAAACCATTCGCCTGGGCACCCCAGGACATGACCGGATGGATTGCACTCTTGTGGAGGCGATGACTGATGTTCCTCTGGAGCTTCAACCTTTGGAGTATGCCCGCTCGGCCCCTTCCTTTGAGAAACCTCTTCTTGACTTGGTTGACACGCCGGTGTCTTCCTGCTGTTGCATCCACTCCCAAATCCCGCAAAACATTGTGGTGCTGCGGGTCGTCTTCTTTGAGGTGGAGCTTGAGAGCCCGGGCAGTGTCCTTGCTGCTGGACAGGAAGCCGGTCTTGTCCGTGTTGACCTTCAGGCCTGCTTCCGTGAGGAGGTCTCGCAGTGTGCGGTATGCCAAAATGGCCTCCCGTGCCACATAGTCCGGGTCATGGCCTGAGACATCAAAGGAGACGTCATCCACCCAGGTCTGAAGGGCAACCGCCGGGTGAGCGTGCTGAAGGGCCTTGAGCGGCTTGTAGAGGATGAGTTTGCTGATGGCAGGAGCTTGTGGGCACCCTTGCAAAATGCCATGGGAGTAGTGTCGCGGATCCCCAGCAATGCCTTCTGCTTGAATCAAGCGGGGCCCAGAGTAGAGGTCCAAAGCAAGCTTGAGATGAACTGGCGGGTAGTTAAGCTCGGCCGCGGGTTCAATGATGTGGTCCAGGTTGACTGTGTCGTAGAAGCAAGAAAGATCAGCTAAACAAGTCACCGTGTGGATGCCCTGGTGCTTCTTGATCTCCGACTTCAGCATACGACCAACCGCTATGGAAAGGCAGTCCCTCTTTGGTCGTGCCTGATCCCAGGGAAGCTCATCATCTAAGGTCATCTGCCAGCGCTGGATGTCATGCTTCCGGTAGGAGTTCCAAACACGATAGAGGCAGGATGTCAAGGCAATGGGCCTCTCGACCTTGGCAGACTTGGGAATGAGGACAATGTTGGTGTAAGTGAGCTGCGTGGGCAGAAGTGCCGCTCTTTCCATCTCAGTGAGTAGAGCTGCCAGCCTGTGAACAGCAGGGTACGGCAGATGTCTGAGCATGTCATAGGAGATGCCATCAGGTCCAGCAGCTTTGTTGGGAAGGCGCCTCAAAAGCTTCTGAAGAAGCGAGGAGTCAATCGGCTTCCATGAGAGCGCCTCTTGCTGTGCAATCTCCCTCATCTGAGCAAGACCTCTGATCTGGGCCGGGGCAGTGAGGGGATGCCAAATGTCTCCCCACTGCTTCTCGCGAGCGGTGATGCGCTCCAGGGCAGGAAGGTCTTGAAAGGGCCGTTGCCAGGCCTGATCCCTTTGCCGCAGGCTGCGGAACAAGCCCCGTAGCCCTTTGTGGTGGGCCTTCTTGAGCCACTCGTGGAACTCGATGCTGGTGGATTGAAGGGCCTGCTTCTGTGCCAGGTGCTCCTGCTCCAAGATTTGAGCTCGGATGTCCCCCGGATCCGTGGTGGGATGCTGAAGCCATTGGCCCACGAGCGCAACAAAGACATCCGCAGTGAAGTCCTCTGAGCAAAAATGAGGGACGTCTTGCAACATAGCCTGAAGATCTCGCATGACCCCTCGGTGACCAGAGTGGTGAACAACGTTGAGCCTGACGTTGAGCTTCTCCCAAAAAGCCACCGAGCCCCTCAGCCAAGTGCGTGAAGTGGAGGAATCAACAAGTGGGGCTTGAGTCAGACGGATGTTGGAACCCCGGCCCAAGGTGGGCCTGTGGAGCATCTGGGTGATGTACTTCTCCGTCTGTGTCGCCCAGCGAGCCAGGTCAGAGCCCAGACCAGTAATGAGGTGGTTCAAAATGTAGAAGGGCCCATTGTCCTCCTGGAAACTAGTCCACTGATGGGGCAGCTGGAAAGTTCTCCCAACAGGAGGGAACCGCTGAAGTTGCTGGACAAGCTGTGCAGGTTGATCACAATCCAGTTGCACTTGCAGAGCACAGTGAGGTCTCCACGGAACCTCCCAAGATGCTTCCAGTTTGATAGCCCCGTGCAAAGAGTTGGAGACCAAAAGGAAGTCAATCTGGCTGCCATGCAGCGTGGTGCAGCCTCCCGTGTCGAGGATGTGAGCCTTGAACTTGCTCTGGATAACGGTGGCAGCCAGGGCAGCTGGCTCATTTTGCCAGTCGCCTCCGATGACAAAGGGTGCTCTCAAGTGATGCAAGAAGGCCATGAGGTGGCTGAGGATGAGAGAGTTGCTGTGTGATTGCAAAGTCTCTCCCGTCTTGAGGTAGATCTGTATGAGGAAAATCATCATGCCTTGCCTCTGCAGCCCGATCGCGGTCCAGCCATTGCCTTCATGAAGGAATTCCGCGGCCTGATGCGTGAGGTGTTTGGTGGAATGTAACGTCAGGAACCCGCCAGAACAACCTCCTTGCCCCGTGGGGTGGGCCGCCGAGCCATACGCCTTCCATCCCCTGTTGGTGTAGTATTGAAGAGCACGAGAGGTGGCCGCTTCCCCCATGTGAGTTTCATGAAGAAGGAGGAAAGCATCTCCCTGTGTCCACGTCCAGTCCTGAACCTTGGCCCCAAAGTAGGTGATGTTGGCAAAGATGATGGTGAGGGAGTCATGGCCATGTCTTGCCTTCTTGACAGGAGGTTCGTCGTGGGCCGCCTGCGTGTCCTCCACGAGCTCGTCCATAGGTTCTTTGACTAGCCAGATCTGCAGGACTTCCCTCTGGCGCTGAGGGGAAATTTCCGGCAAAGGGATCGGGTACTGTCCATCATCAGCCAACCAGACAGCATTGTCCATGAGCAAAAGGGATTGGTAGTGCCCAGTGTGGTGATCACATCCTTGGTGGGTGACCAGAGCAACAATCCGGTAGGCAGCCATATGGACGTGGTGTCCATCCTCGGAGAAGGGGATGGTGATGTCAGTTCCAAAGTCGAGGGGCCTGTCATGTTTGGTCCACCCTTCAGAGAGCTTCTGGAACCTCTGGAGTTGGATGACCAAAGCATCAGGGGCTCCGTACAAAAACTGCCCCCCTTCTTCATCTGCCCAGTTGGAAATAAGCTCATCCAACTGCATAGGGTGGTCACCTGCCGGAAAGATCACATTCAAAGGAAACTGCTCTCTGACCTCCACAGTGCCATGAGCCTTTCGATGGAAGAAACGCCCCCCGTAGAAGGGGCAGTCGGCCTGGGCCCACAAAAACCCCAGGAAGTCCGCGGCATCCGCTTGCTGGCCTCGGTGGAAGCGCTCCCAAAGGGAAGCCAGATCAGGGTCTTGAGCAAGCGAGATGGCTTGAGACTCGGTGAGGCAGCGCCGAACCGCATGTTGAGTATAGCCCCATGCCTTCGCTGAATCCTCAGCAAAGGCCCCAGTCCAGCGCCAACATCTGAAGGGTGCGTTGCCATAGCACAGGTTCTGTCCGTCCGGATTGAGGAGGATGGTGGTTAAAACCTGTGAGATGACATAGACATTGGCCAAAGGTGGCTTGTAGTCCCCCGGAATGAGAAGATGACGATGAATGATGTTCTGCATGCGTCGTAGATCTGCCAGAACTTGCTGGCCATGATGCGGCCTCCCAGTGAGCCTGTACTGCTTGCTGGAGGCAGTGAGATCGTTCTGACACAAGTCAAAGAAGAAAAGTTGCCCGTGGGTGAGGTCCGAAGGGTGGTCCCTCCTCCATGGCCTCCATCAAAACCTGAGCCAAAGCAGAGCCCGGGAAGGTCCTGAATTGAGCGGTCCCCCGAAGAGGCCGCTCCGAGGTAGAAGAGCTCAGTGCCTCCCCTGACCCTGTGGACTCCGAAGCGGAAGGTGAAGGTCCGCCCCCAAAAACTTTCAAAGAAGGTCGCCGTCGCTGCGGCCCATAGCCCTCCAAACCCCGCGGAGAGGCCACACTTGAGCCTGAAGCAGCCAAA